CAAATTTATTAATTAGAACTACTATTATTAAAAAGACTATCTTAAAAGAAATATAAATATAAGAGATAAAATGGATTGATATTTTATATTTAGTACTAAAACAAAAACCAAATGAGATCTTATATTAAAGATCAGAGGTAGTAATATTTTAAAAAAAATAAAAAAATGTAAGGTAATATATATAGCGTTAAAATGTTATTTAAATAATTTAAAATTTAAAATTACAGTAAAAGTATAGTAAAAACTAAAAACAAATCTAATATCACAATATACAGAGTCTAGGTAACAAGATTTGGACTGACAGGGAAAGAATTAAGAATGCACATACAAAATAAACTGGCAGCGAAAATTTCAAAAAAAAAAAAAAAAAGGATTCTCCCCAGAAAAATATAGAGTTAAAGTTTATTAAGTTCGAATAATATGTGTGATATATCCATTAAAATATCAAGATATATAATAGAAAATAGAATAACATGGTATAAATGGTATAACAAATAATATAATACTTATGGGGCCCTAAGCGTGTTCTAGGAATAAAATCAAAGTTAAAATGCAAAGTAAAATTACAATTAATGCGGGTTTTCATAAAATCATTAACAATTAACAAGTCGGAGTACTTGTACGACACCTCATATTGTTTGTAAATCTTAAATAATATCCTAAATATAAACCTCTTTCCTAGTATAATTTACACTACGAAAGGAGTTTTATATTTAGAATCGGAAGAATAATTTATTTTAAATTTTGTGTAATATGTATAGGGAAATATTCGGTAATTACATAAATGTTTATAATTTAATTTTCCAATGACCTATGGTGTGAAAGAGAAAGCATTTTCCAGATAATATTTGTCTGGCTTGGATAAGTATTTGCGGTTGCTTGGATGTTATTTTCAGATATTAATAGTCACATACGATTTTCTAACTTCACTCCATTCTTAAAAAAAATGTAATATTAATATGACTCAAATTTCTAAGGTGAACCTTGAATTAGACTGAAAAAAATTAAGGATTATTTGAGATAAAAAATGCAACTTAATAATTTATGTTCAGTATACTAACTTAAAATTAGTATTGAGAAGATTATATACAAGAATTAAATAAGGTTGATTGGCCAGCGTTACCCAAAAGAGATGAAGAGCAACTGTGAGTTTGTGACATTTTTTTCAAACCTCGAGAGACTTGAGAGTATTGAAGCTTTAAAAAAAACAGAGGGAGAGAATTCAGAGTTTTTTTTTTAATTTTTGACAAATTTGCAAGATTTATTTATTTATAAGAAAATTCAACTAGAACTTATTCATAATTTTTTTGTTAGTATTGGGTAAAGAGGTAGAGAATAATTCTTTTGGGAGAAAAAACTAAAAATCTAAAATATCCTTGTAAAAGAATAAGAAACAAATACACTCCTCTAATTCATCCAACATATTTTATCAGGAAAAAAACTTAAATCTCATTAATTAATTTTGCGTCAAAATGTATTAATTTTTTAATGTTATTCCTATTTAATATATATTTTATATTTTAATAAATTGTCATGTAAATAATAAATGAAGAATATAATTATAAATTTATCTTAAAAATTTTTTTGTTATGACTTAGAGTATTCTCAAGTCATTTTTTATTTAAAACTAATTTTTATCAGGTCAAAAATATTAAGGTTAAAATCATCTCAATAAGTATGTTCTCCTAGATTTAAATCTGTATTCTTTTTTTTTTTGTAAAGATAAAATTACTTATTATTTTAACTAACAAGTTGTTCCTGAACAAAGGAGTGACGAGTTTTTTCCCCCTACAAATAGTGGGAGAAGAAAATAATTTGAACATTTGCTTCTTTAAGTGAGACTAGGGAGGCCCCACCCGAGTCACCTGATGATTTGCCTCCTACCCAAGAATATCCCTTCCAAGCAACCAAACAATTTAACAGCGCTGCTCTTACCTTCCATTTCCCGCATCCAAATGAACCATCGGTAAAATGAATTGATAGTTGCTGATGTGGCAGTTATGTTTTGTAACGATAGGGATTTTGACCTAAGTTGGCCAAAACTTGGAGACTGATTCCTGAAAGCTACTAGGACCTTGATCCTAGTTGACCTTAACTATAAGCAACATGAATTGATACATTCTTATCATCATTTCTGTTCTCTTTTCTTTAAGGTTTAGCCCTGAGGAGAGTGGGAAGTATAGGCTTATTTAAAATAGTAGTAGAATTTTTTAAAAATAACTTCTTAACTGTGATTTATAAAATATTCCTCTAGTTTCATCTATAAGGCACTTTTGATATATTTTACATAGATAAAAAAAATCTTAAACTTCATTAATTATCATTGAAAATTTAATAACTTTTTAATTTTATCCCTATTTAATATACATTATACCTCATATAAACAGACTCAACATAATAATAAATAAGGAGTAAAATTGTACATCCATACAAAAAATTTCTCTCAGTGCCTATAAATAGGACCAAAAATATCTTCTTTCTCTGCCCTATAAATAGGACCAGAGGAGTATTATATAAGTATATAAAAATAATTTTACCTTGAATTAAGTAAATAAGTGCTTTTAAAGATTTTAATCATAATTCCAAATGAACATTAAATATATTTTTATTTTGAGAGTGAAATTGGTTGTTAAAATTGTGAAAATGGCACTCATATGTTATGAGAAAAGGGGGTTTAAATGAACTTTCTAATTAATCAATTCATCTAAAGGTTTATGTACCAAATATAAAAGTGGATAAGCGTCTGATGTTAGAAGTGGAACCAATTAATTACTTCATATGTGTTTGTATATTGGCAATTATGATAGCCTCTGTTTATAGTAGAAAATAATTTTCTAAGAAATATTAAAAGTAAACAGTAAACTTCACCTAAGTTTATTTACTTTATAAAAAAAGTGAAAATTGATATTTAATATGAAATGTTAGTTGCATTTCTCCCATCTTAGTTTCAACACTTTCTTCATCCTTGATATACTGGGCTTTAGAAGATCAACTTCTACCAACAGAATTCGATTGTAGAAAAAACCAAAGTACTGAATTAAAATTTGAATTTTCATTGAGAGAAATGTTTACCCTCATATTATTTCTTAGTAATACTTTACTCTTTAATTATATTAATTTTTTAAGAAAATTAGAAAAATAATTACTTTTGTCAAATATATTATATTAAGTTGCATATTTAAATTACTTATGGTAAAGACACGAGAGAGTATTAGATTCTTCTACAATGTAACAGCCAAGGGTAAGAGTGTGTGTGTGTGTGTATATATATAGGGAGAAATATGACTACTGAATTATAATTAAAATTTATAATATTCTTATGGAACTTATATTTAACTAGTTATGATGGGAAAAAAAAAAGGTGCACAAGAGCCTCATCTATTAATGTTAATTATAAACTAAGTTTATTAATTACCAATTTAACATTAAAAAAATAACAATAGATCCCAAAAATTAATAGTTAAATCTTTTTTTTGTGCTAAAAGATAATTTGTAAATATCCGTTTAAATATTTGATTTGTCATTAAATTAATTTTTTAACGCTTATTTAAATGGCGTAAAGATGGACAACGGAATTTTATTGGATGATGAAAAAAATTGTCCAATGGCAGTATTACGCTTTCAAAGAGTTGAATTTACAAGATGTGCTGTACTGATCGAGCCCCAAAAAAAATCAAACAGTAAGATCCATAAGCCTATTAATTAAATCCATAGTATTAAAAACCGCACCGGATCGGCCGGCTTGAACCGAAAACCGACCGATCAGTTGCCTGAAAAACTGGCAGGAGGATTGTAGATAGGAATATTTTGCTGCCATAAATCTATTTTGATATTTTGCTGAATGAATATTAGTTGTTTTAATAATATGATATTATGATGTCAATTTGTCAAAGGAATTGTAGGAAAAAATGAAAAGAAAATATAAGTATATAATTATTTTATTAAAAATTCAATGTATTAAATTGATATTTAGTCTTTGGGATGGTATAATGAGAATTTAAATTAATTTTTATTTTTTTATTTTTCACCGGTTTTATCCCGGTTTGACACCGACCCGACTCACGAACCCTTGACCCACTATCTCAACCAATTCAAAAGCCGGTCTGGTTTTTAGTACTTTGATCAAATCGTGCAGCATAATTAATCTCCCTTCACTACCTCTATTTCAGTGATCCTGGGCTTTTAAGCCCCTAGAGCATCCAGAATCTTTTGATTAAAAAGAGAAATAATACATACATTGCAGTAACGTGGGATTAAAATAGTAGCTTGCAGCAGATTTATAATTGGACTTCCTCATTATTACTTGCAATTAAAAGAACTAATAAGACAACCAAGTTTTTCTAATTTAGTAAAATTTAAAAAAAAAAAAAGAAAGAAAGATAATAACAGAACTGTGCTCATAATAGCTCCTTGTAAGATAGAAACATGGGGGGTTTTTTTGGTTTATCATTTACAAAAGAGTGCCTCGCCTATTAAGAAGATAACTTGAACTCTTCATGTCAGACATTTGAAATTTGTTAAATGTAATAATACATCATGCATGCAATGTACTCTATGGAGATATCTTCAATCATCTTATGTGAATTCCTACTTCGCTGGGGGGGAAAAATAGATGCTGGCGCCCCAAGGGGTATTTATATAAGGAAAACAAAGTCATTGCATGGAATCCAACATTCTAATCCTCTCGTATCAGAATGAAAATAATGAGTTTTATTCCAGAAAGCCTTGTCATAACTATACCCAATACAGAAATGTTTTACTCTCGTGTAGCTTACGCAAACACTAATAAAAACTGTAAGCTAGCCAATCAAAACACTCCTACTCTATCAAAGAACAAGGCAAATACCTAAAATCTGCATTTGAATTTTATCATTTATAAATTGTGAGTCAGTATTGAATTGTTATGTACTGACCTAATGAGCAGGACATTTTTTTTGAAATTAAACAAAAGCGTTTGTACACTCGTGCTCAAAATCTAACCACCTGCTTACTTACTCTGGCTAGCCTGAGGAATCTTTGAAGTTTGCTTTCTCACTCAATTCTTCAAACTCATCTACAAGATTCTGAAGCCTTGCAACGAACTCAATTAAAAGTGAAGCAAATGTTGCTAAAGACAAGGAGCTCGCGCTTTCATATACCTCAGAATTTTGCTCATCCATCACATTCATGGCATCTGCATCAAATGGTAGAAAAGGCCATGATCCCATTTTCCCGACATTACCCACAGAACTCCATTTCCGGATGCAAGAGTCTTCTGAACTATCCCTTGCCTCACTTTGTGGTGGCATGTTATCCTGCACCAAATTCTCAGTTTGTTCTAATTCATTGGGATGTTTTGCAGCTGCCCAGCTCTTTGAATTGACTAGAAGGAATGATTTTTGATCGATCTTTATTTGCAATTGCTTGGCTGCCTCGTGCACTTCAAACAGTATGCTTCTCCCCCTCAGCTTTTCCATCTTTTGAACTTTGTTTCCAAGTAAACGTAGTACTTTTGTTCCTTCAATCCCAACCTTTTGAAGCTCTTCGCGAAAAACTTGCCTCTTTTCAGGCGCTGCCTGAATTTATTGAATAAATTAGAAGGGAGCCTTGTAAACATGTATCTTCATAATTTTCTGCAGCAGTCGACCCAAAAAAAAAACAAGGAAAAAAAAAAAGCAGTTCAAAACTGTTGGTCTTTCTGAGTTTTCACATTTACTTTGTGTGCAGAGAGTACAACCGAGTTTTTTTACTATTGAAAATGATTAAGAAGTGTTCAATTAGAGCAATTCCCAGTTCCTTAGACTCTGGCTTCTAATTTTTACCTATGACATTGAAAATAAAGGGTAAGGATTGAGATTAAGATTGAGAAAAACCATTAAAGAGTGTTTAGTATGGGTAATTTCTTGTTACGTGGGATTAGACAATCCCATGTAAGTAGGATTAGAGAATACCGCATCTCCCCATGGTATTTCTCAATCCCACATACATGGATTTGTCTAATCTCAAGTAATAAACAATCACTCATACTATAAACACTCTTTTAACATATTTTTTCAATCATAATCCCAATAAATGACTAAGTGTTCAAATAGAGCAATTTCCCTGTTCCTTAGACTCTAGCTTCTAATTTTTACATATGAAATTGAAAATAAAGGGTAAAGATTGAGATTAAGATTGAGAAAAACCATTAAAGAGTATCTAGTATGTGTAATTTCTTGTTACATGAGATCGCAATCCCATGTAAGTGGGATTGGAGAATACCACATCCCCCCATAGTATTTCCCAATCCCACATATATGGATTTGTCTAATTCCAAGTAATAAACAATCACTCGTACTAAACACTCTTTTAACATATTTTTTTTAATCATAATCCCAATCCTTATCCTTATTTTTAATGTTTTATACCAAACGGGATCTATGTGGTCTTGTAAAGGAGAGTCCCAGGCAAGGTATAACTGACATTGATTAAGTTGTTTCAAGCAAATGTTAATCTCATCATCAAACACTATCTTAACCGTCATGCTTTTTGCACGGGACAGAACAAAGAAATCATGAACTTATAAAGTCCAGCAAGTTCACATGGCTTAGGAGTTTTCTAATGTTTTTCTTCGCACTCCATTTGTTTGAACAAGATCAACAACTAGTGCCCCATATCCACCACAATACAGCAGAACATGGCAGTAACTTATTTATTGCCAAGTGTATTTTTATCTTGCAGCAATTGAAAGAATGCATTATAAGGATCATTTTGAAATGGCAATTTATGACAGTGCTTATATGGCAGATGAAGTTGGATTTTATTCACAACGGATAGTGAAATTGAAAGTTCAGATATTTAAGTTCTCTGCCAATAAAAGACAAAACGCAAGAAGTATAGAATGAACAACAATAATGACAATTAGTTTTTTCCTTTACCAGATAGAATACGAAAAAATATCAACTTATGGTTTTACCTGTATTTCTGAAAGTATGCACCCATGCATTGCCATGACCATGAGAGCACAATGCCTTAAAGCTCCACTGAGTTGCACATAATTTCTCCAAGGATAGCTGAACGTTTTGTATGGGCCGTGAGGTGGTTCCCATAACGCAAATTCTAACTTCAAGAGTAAGATGAAATTGTTGAATTAAATAGTAGTTTCAACGTCTCAATAGGATATCAGAATTGTAAGATAATAATACTACTATATGTATGATAGTCCCATGTCGAGTAATTAGAGGATTAATCATAGTGAGTCCTTATAAGTAGTTTAAGCAATTTTAGTGCAAGTGACAAGCCTTTAGGTGTAATTAATGTATAGCTCGAATAAATACCAGAGACTCCTCTTGACTTGCCGATTGTACTGCTGACCTATAACCACTGTAAAGAGGGTCATCAGAGGCTTGATGAATAAGAATTTTTGAAGGGATCCTCTCGTACTCAAAACATTGCAGGTAACCATTTACACAACCTAGAGAAAGTAGTACAGATATTAGCCATGTTCGGCAGTGGAAACACGCGAATTACATAAACCAAGTATTAAGAGGTGAGGTATCTGGAAGTTTGATCGAACCTTCTAAAGACTTAGCAACACCATTGAAATGTTTTACCACCAATTTGTGCAGATCCTCCCCGGACCAGATGGGGCATATTAAAATATTTACAAAAAGACTTATGCCAGCACCTAGAGCAATAAAAACTAATCTGGACGCAGCTGTGAAAAAGAATTCTGATGTCCTTCTCCCAGATATCAGTACAATGCAAAACGTCAACAAAAAAACACGAAATCCATATTCGTATGACTTCATTGCAGGGTACTGTTTGACATAGGTTATAAAAAACCCTGCAAACCACCAAAATAGCAGTACAAGCATAAAAATTAGAAATTTTCTGTACTAAAGTAAAGGCATGACAAAACCAAGGAATAAAAGCAAGTGCAATCAATTATCTTTCCCCAAGCACAGGCGGTAAATTCAAAATATAAAGGCCTGAGCAAGCCGCCAGATTGACTAATATCACACAACCTCTCTATAACTAGTTCAAAAATAAACGTTAACCTGCTATGAACAGATTGACTGTGATAACAAGCTCATTATAACTTCCAGCTAATACGGATAATCGTGCAATACCCAGAGCAAGCCCTCCTGCAGAGAATGTTCCTAAAGCACGATTAAATCCTTTGGTAAGGGTTGCACCTACAGGAAAAGAAGGAAAGGCCAAAAAAAAAAAAACACTAATCAGAACCTTAATTGAACTTGAGAAATTAAAACAACAGAACCAATGTGAAATGTCTCTCGCATCTCTCAATGCTTCCTTTTTCAAAATGAACATAACTTTATAACCATTACCAACGCTGAATTCAAAAACCACAACGACCGTGAGAATGGCCCAAACTGAGTACCGCGTAAGCTTGTTAAAGGGAGAATGATCCTGAATATATACAGCTAGCGACACGAGAGCTAAGGATAACCCAGCTTTCATGGCAAACAACACCTTTCGGGGATCGGAGTGACCCATCTTATATAATTTGCGATATATCTGAGCAACCCGATCAGAAAGCAAGCGGAAACCCAAGCATTTGGCCCTGTTACAGTGCTCCAAATCGGAGTGATTGCTCTTAGGAAGCAACCTCTCTCTGCTCCTCTCCATAAAACTTTGCCCCAGTAATCCAAATTTCGATGCCATTTCTCGAACCTAGAACAACGTAAATTTATGAATAGAATTCTTTACATGATCGAATATATGTACATTTGAAGACAGCAATGAACTAGAATATTAAAATGTTTTGAGTTCTTGCCTTCTAGGAACGTGTTCAGATGCTACAACGAGATTGAAGAAGAGGGAATACGTTGAATGAGCACGAAAGAACAAGAAGGTCTGTGTGGGTAGACTTGAATGGCGGGGAAGGAGAAAACCCGCCACATACATGTACATCCTATATATTTGGAGGAATCAAATTTTGACTTTTGACTCTTAGATTCATTAATCCAATTTTTTCCCCTTCCTTATGGAAAAATGAGACGGAATTTGGCAACCATTGACAGTTAGCAACATCGTGAATTGACGCGGAAAATAAGAGATTCAAATAAGAACTCTCATAGCATTTAGGAGTATAAATTTAAGGGGGGAAAAACATTGTTTTAGACATAAATAAAAGACATATTTTGTCTTACAGATCAAATGAAAAAATTATTGAAAATTGAGTATGAAAAGTTGCAAAATTAGTAATAAGAAGCAACTTCTCTGGCCAATTTTTCTAAGAAATGAAATTTGTGAGATATAGATTATTCTTAAAAACTCGTTGGGAGGCAAAAAAAAAAATCCTCAGCAACTAAGCCAGAAAGGTTGTAAAGTTAGCAATAAAGACTTACTACCTTCGGTCCTTAATGTAAGATCCTGTTTGACTTTTATTTTGGTCCTAAATATAAGACTCCAATCCACTTTGTCTCTCATATTTATGCATTTTTTTCAAAGTAGCCCTTCTAATAATTGTAATTCTAACCAATATAGTTGATTAGTAAGGATATTTTAGGAAAGACAACACTTATTTATTACAAATAACTAACTTAACTTCTTTCCTTAATCTCCTCAAATTAGTCAACTGGGTCTTATAATTAGGACCGGAGGTAGTATAAAATATGCGTTCCGATATTTTCCCAAAACTCAAATATTCTTGATAAATTTGACATTCAATTTAGTGAGCATTCTTTGCACACAAATGTAATAATATTAAGGTTAAGTTTGGAGGATTTGGGACATCCTCCAAATAACAAGTGACACTGTCACTGAGACAATCTACTATTAACTAAATTTATACTCTTTTGATTTTTAATATAGGACCCAATTCTTGGGTTGGTTTTGATCCTAAATATAAGACACATTTCTCATATTTATCAATTTTTTCTAAATTATCATTATGGATCCTCTGTCAATCATAATCAAGTAGAAGAGGGAGAAGGGATATTAAGAAAGATGATTATAGTGTTTTAGGAAAAATGTGTCACTTTTCTTATAATTAACTAACTTACCTAACTTTCTTAATCTAATCAAATTAATCAAATAGGTCTTATATTAAGAACCGGAAGAGTATATATAATGAGATTAGAGATATTCCTCTTTTCTATGACATTATTAATTAAGTTAGGGGAAAACACAGGTGCCTTTCTCATAAATTATGTCTCCACGTGGGAGTACGGTACGTTGTTTTCAGCTTGTTCATCCTTCAAATGCATCACCCCAGATAGAGAAAAAATAATGTTTATAAATTCATCAGATGTGGTAGTTTGGTTGCTTCTATTCCTCATCGTACATGTTTTGCACTAAAAACCAATTCAAGTTTGACTTTTATGACCAATTGACTGGTAAAAAAAAAAACATAATTGGACGTTTCAGAATTTAAATATCTACACAATTTTTCAATTTCTAAAGTTTTTTTTTTTTGGCGATTTTCCCTTTAAATATCTACACACGCACACGCACGATAAACAAAAAATAATACCATCAGCAAACTTAAGGAACAATATTAGCTTGTTGACAAATGTGCTCAGAAAGTTGGATAGGATCTGTTTATGATTAACAATATTTAGAAGGAGAGTAATGTCATATTCAAGCCCTGTCATCATATTTAATTATTTATATCCTTTCCTTCATATTTTTCAATTTCCTGTATAGATTTATTTCTGTAAACATCACAGATGCAGTCATCCATATTGCAAAATATGCAGCTCACTTGATATAATATTTCATCCTTAAAATTCTCACATCAAATCCCAAATTTCAGACCAAGTTTCCTACGATCCCAACATTTTTCTGATGTTCCGGCTTGAAAAGTCAATGGCATTTTGTACAGGCAGAAAAAATTACTATGAAATGTTCCGATTACTAGGGTTCTTAACTATCTGTTTCATTCATTTGGATTCAATTTTACAGGCTCCCAAATTTGAGGATGGATATTGCAGAGAGCAAGGAGAAACACCAACCATGCATCATCATCAAGTTGATACAAATTCTCCTTTATGCAGAGGCATTAAGTTTACATTAGTTTCTGACATTTATGAGCATTATGAACATTAATGCTCGACATTAGATTCAACGATAAAATAATGGCAAAGAAATTTTAATTAATGCATACTCTTATTAATATAAACTAATTAAATATGCTTAAGCATGCACACATTTTGGTTTATGAAGGGACTGACATGGTTTCTGCCACATTAATGAATTAACATTAGATTCTACATGCACATTACTCTTTCATCCAACATAACATACAACTTAAAATGTAATACGTTTCGGTCTCAAAAGTTCTTCAAATCTTGTTCATACCAATATCAGAATTTTTTGATCTCTCACTTATTTCTAACATGGTGAAAAGTATGCATGTGCCAAGTATAAATATACACAACCTTTGACTTAAAAACAGAAAATTGCAAATAAGAAAGTTAATAACAAAAGGAGTACAGAAAATTTTGAATGTAAATATAGTTGTATATATATCCATATAAATGTATATCTTTGCAGCATAAACATCCTGAACCACAGACATTATTGAGTAAAATCGCATTGTAAGAAGTAAGTAAACCAAGTCAATCAAGCATAAACCTTTAGTATGTAATGAGTTTGGCAAGCTTACATATTTCTTCATGAATGACTTTGTTTACTTACAACTTGTAAACCGGTTCTATCTAAGAAGTTTCCAGTAGATCATACTGCTTCTTGATCCAAGCAAAGAAGATAAACAATTAAGCCAACCACAGGGACATAGCTAAGGTACTTAACAGCAAAAACCTTGGTTTCCTGGACATTTTGGAGATTCTCCCCAATCAACCATGGCTGGAAGATGATGTACAGGAATATATCCCATATGAATGCATAAGCCAACCTTTCTGATCCAAGATAATCCAACAAGAAATCCCATCTCTCTGCTAGGCCTCCAAAATTTGCATCCATTCTACCAAATAAAGCCCACCATAGAGATAGAAGACATGCAGCCCCACCAATGATTCCCACAATTGGAGCGCCGTTGGTCATTACGGTGCCTAACTGTGAGCGTTTGCTTTGAATATCATCATCATCAGCATCATTCAATCGGATAGCCATATATGGTATCAAAAATGCTGGCATAAGGAAAAATACACAACTATAATAATATGTAATGTAATTTAGTAATATATGAAGGAAAAAGGAAAATTTTCATGTGTAAGTGATTGCAGTAAGACGATGATGATGTTAAGACGATGCTGTAAAATTATTTGAAAAGCACATGTGATGGAACCTTGTCAAAAGAATCGTATGCAAATGCCAGAAAAGACGCCCCCCACAAGCTTTTAAATGCAAGTGGGTTAATATTTTTGGAAATCCTGTAAAATGTGTGTACCAACAATCTCTCATTCCTGTTAGATCTTTCAATAAGGTTAAAAGTAACCCAAGACGCCATGCTAATATTTTTGTTTTGAAAAATGTTGCTCTCTCCATAAAAAGAAACTTGGGTGATTCATAAAGCAATTTAATTATATGTATGGCCAAACCCAGGAAGTGAAAAAGAAACACTGCACTGAGAAAGAAAGTATAATGCTAGTGCCTATCAACCGCTTTTGTTAAATGTTTGAAATAGATGAAACTGGATGCTACCACTAAATCGATATATCAATGTATCACTGTAGATTATAGAAAACTATCGCAAGTCGCATTACTTACAAGCTATGAATAATAAAACTCATTTTTCCTTCACCAAAAAAAAATAAATAAATAAATAAAACTCATTTTTCAAATTTTGTATCTTACTACATGGGGAATCGACTAGTTAAGAAAAGAAAATAGAATGGAACATACTGTTTGTCAGGAACATCTGCAGGCCCCACAGTACATCGAGAGATCCTTTGTATCTATTTCTCTTACGATCTGTGAACAGCAGAGGGGCAAACATGAATGTCCACCCGATGACAAAGTTGAATAGTCCTTCAGACATCTGAAACAACAAAACTTGGCAACATCAGGAAAAGAAAAATGATCTTCAAATCAAATTGAGTGTGCTCTATTGGCTACGAATCAGATTATTAACTCTGTTCAGCGATGCTTACAGGATGAAGAACTGGAGCCTCCAGCACATGAACGCCAACTACTCTGCCAAAAATTTTATTGCAGAAGTCACTATAATGTAAGAATGACCATAACATTCTTTCTTTGGAAACCCCATACAGTAAACAGAATACATAACAAATAATTCTACAAAAACTTAGGTCTTCTATATATATAATATGTGCATGCGCATTACTATTTTCTATTAAAAAACCGTGGCTATACTGAAGCAATCCTCCCTTAACCAAAAGGGCCTGCTAAGAGAGAGAGGAAAGAGAAAGGAGGACCCTTTCCGTAAGCAAGAGAAAAGCTTACCATGTACTTGTTGATCTTGCTTCATTTAAGCACCCAAGAACATCATATTTTTAATTTAAATTGACAAAGGAACAAAAGTAACATTTGATATGCACACTATGCCAGAATCATAGAAATTCTCTAGTTGCCATCTCTACAAACCAAAAAGAAAAGAAAATAAGAACATCTCCTCATTTGAAGATAGCAAAACAGAACCAATCCATTCACAAATATAATTATACAATTATGGCAGGAAGTCGTGTGACCAGAAATAAGGAGTAAATTAATTGTTGAGTATTTATCATCCTTAAATGACAATGGAAGGTTCATAGATTCAATACGGCTCAGGATTCTCTAAGATGAAAGCAAGAGCAATCAATCTGTATTAGGTTGAAGCACTTAAAAACATGGTCAACGTACCAAAGTTCAATAAAGGCAATATGAAAAAGAAGTTGAGTGAAAGGCCCACGAGAGAGTTTATTGTGTCTTTACTGATGGCCCATACAGGATCTCCCTGTTACAAGTGAAATTTAAGATTTAAGATTAGTTTCCAAAAAAGATAAAGTCAAATCAATCTCTGTGGTATCAAATATCAAAAGTCAAAACGCATTGAATACAAAGTCAAGGTATCGTATATCATACGGATTGCCGACACAAGATAAGAGAGTAAGGGAGAAGTTTTCTCACAAAGCCATATAGGCAACTTAGGTAATGATCATATAACATAGGAAGACGCAATATCACACAAAATAAAGGTGTCACTTTCTTTCAGTGATCCAAAGATGACCATTTTCATCTTCCGGTGGTTAGCAAGACTAGTTGGGTCTCTATGCTTCCTTTAGATTATCAAGCATTACTCATCTCAGGAGTTTAAGTAATATCCAGTACTATTTCACCCCTAAAGCTTAAAGTTGTCAAGTAAAGACCCCAGTTGTTTTATCAATGCATCCAGCAAGCAAATCAAAAGATGTGAAGAAAATTCCACCAGATGAAAATGTGGTTTTCGAGGGTGCTTTTCACTTGGTTCAAAGATCAAATGTTATCCAAATATAATTTGAAAGCTGCTGGTCTCTAAAAGTGGCTTTCCAACAAAAGGAAGAAAAATTCAAAGATAAAGCAAATCTCAACATTCTGTTCTTCGATGCTGAGTAGAGCAAAGCGCCAGGGGCCATCTGTGGATCAGGTTTTCCTTATGAACAAATCCATTAACATCCAAAAGGTGAAATAATGAAAAGGCTGCGGCTCCAGAAGTGCTAAAGAGAACACTCCAAAACTGAAAACTTCCACTTAAAATGAAACAAATAACGGACATTGATAAGGCAGTGAGAGCTAGCCGATACAGTTCGCATACATATTTTTTAGCTGCCTCTCAATCACAAGTTCACTACCAAAATTCGAACGAATAAAGCCAAGTTTCTAAACCAAATAATCAAGAAGGGGAGGCAAGCATTGAAAAAGGGTACTACATACAGGGGCAAAAGGAAGCAGGAAAAGCCAGCCAATGTAGATACCCTCAGCGATCCACAACACTATTTGAAGTACTCTTCTTGTGTTGTCATCGCCCTCCTCGCCTGAAGAGGCGGTTGATACTGTAGGTTTGCGGCGTGTAGCGTGGCACGAAAGGGTCCTCAATCTGACATCTTCCATTTTTGGAATGAGTGGTTTTCTACACGAACTCAAGGTGTTGCGAAGAGGTCTAGACCCACGCAATTGAGGAAGATAAAGTGAACATTTTGCAGTACAGGGCTTGGATGAAAGCAAGGCATAGCTGCTACAGAGCAAAGTTCGGGACGACGTCATTGTGGTCATCGTCGTCTACTTCACTTCAGAGCAGAGGAGCTCAGGCGTTGCGAGGCGCGGTTTGGTTCTGAGCACCCAGTGGAGATAATTAGGCAAAAAGAATGCCATTTTTGTAATTCTAGGTTTCAGGCGAGGGCATATTGAAGAAGCGACAGACGACGTCGTCGTTTTCCATATCCTGTGTCTTTCGGAAACGGTGCTCGCTCTTGGAAGGAAAGAGAACGGAATTTTCCAGCCCATTTTCTTGCGTTCCAAAGAGAGGTTTCGTGAGTGATATCATTACTAGAACCATCGTTGCTCTCTTTCCTTTCCTTCTGGGAATTAATGACTTCTTCTAGCTGGACATCCTCTGTTCTTTGCTTCTCCATTTCATTACTATACGATAGTAAAAAGATGGTTAAAGATTGGTTTGATATGGTCTGAAGTAGATATCTTCCATTGAAGACCAATTTGTGGAACTCAACTCATTCCTGGAAATTTCTCACATATTTCAGGGTTTTGATCCTGTTGCAGTTATTTTTTCTGAGTGTATTCATATGTCAACTAGGATTTCTGCTCCATACCCTTTCTCAGATTGCCTGTGTCTCCTCAGAAAAGGATATCACTAGAACTAGGAAGTAGGAATCCAACATGGTTATCGACAGGGTCCATAAATGGAAGTTTCAATGGACTCATTTTATTATGGGGGAAAATATTGTAAGATTCAGTCCATAAACATGTAAATAATAGACCAAATCAATGATGCGTACACATACACACACACACACATATATATCTTGCAAATATATCTAAAAAAAAATATTCTGGTACACAAGTAACGATTTAAGAATCTCTCATTTTGGCGGGTACTCATGAATTCTGTCCACAGCCAGCTGGTGCTAGTGGTTCCCTTTAAGATCCCAATTCAGTAGGTCCGTACATGTCTAGTCCGCACAGAAAATGGCCTCTTGTGCAAGTCCAATTGTGGCGTGCTCTGCATCTTGGACCCTGACACTGGATTTGGAAATTGGTGGCTAGAGCTTGTTCCAACCTCCATTCCAGCAAAAACAGGTAGCTCTTTTTCTTGACTTTCATTCTCAACCTCAACTTCTTCATTCACGAAAACACTGTTCTCCTTCAAAATCTCATCAACTGAATCTGAACTTGGAAAGTCTTCTTGCTTTCCTAGCTTCTCTGCACTCTTGTCAGACTCTTCTCCTTGGTTTTCACTGAGAATTTTCTTGTGTTCATGTTGAGACGTAGTGGCTCTCTCAGGATCATGCCCATCTAATAATTTTCTTTGCTGAGGGCTAGTACTATTCTGAGTATGACAAGGTTAATGTATCAGATAAATCCTGAATACCAAATAGAATAATACATATTAAAAGCATATGAGCATTTGCTATTGAATTTACGTCATCATTGATGCTCAAACAAGTACTGCTTGCTAGAACTTTTCGCTCCGACTTCTTCACTATAGAATATAGACGGCTATTGGATAAAAAAATGTCCAAAGAACATCTTCTCCCATTAATTAGGTTCAGAGGTGAATTCTAAAGGCCTCAGAGGCACTTAACCAAACCATAACAGCAAGAAATTGATGCTGGTTGCCCATATACCCATCTCTTAGCCGGATCATATAACAGTATGTTTTTGGTATAGCATAAAATACAATCATATAAACCTGTCATTAATAAAATTCTTACACTCGGATCATCATCATCACGTGGTTCGGACCGGTAGATTTCCATTGCTGCTCTGGCAGCAGATGCTGCATATGTTGCAGACTCGAAAGCTGCCTGTGCTGCATCAGCAACATCCTTGTACTTTTCTCTAGCCTTGAAAGAATCAGATAACCCACCAAAATTTCCTCCTTCAGGTAAAATGTTGAGGTCTTGTTTTTCCCTGGTCTCAGGTTCAGGCTGGTTTTGCGTTTTCGCATTCAGTTGTTCCTGCATGACCGACATCAGATCAGTGGAGAAAGCGGCGCATTCATGGTGTCTGGAATCAAGGTCAATAAAATGAATCTGCATCAGCTAGTGCTGCCTTAATTTGTATACCTCATATGATAAGGAAGAAACTTCTTCAAGCTGCAGAACAATACTGTTCTGAGCGGCAATTTCTTTGAGTGCCTTCAGTCTTCTCTCCAAGCTTGGCTTCCTTGTTGACAGCTTTTGGACCATCTACAGGTAACCCAAGAAAAAGGAAAAATATCATAAAGCATATAGTATACTGCGGAAAGAGATTTACTTAAATCTAATGTGAAAATTTCTCTGCTTTTGACAGGAAAAGATTTTGCATTTAGGATCTCAAGTCTTTAGAACAATAAACACTAAGTTTGCACCACTGCTAGTAACGTATGCTTCACGATGATTTTTTATCAGACACACAGTGACTCCTCTATTCTTTTGGGTGGGATGATTCACTTTGAACCCTTTGAGTAATTCTTTTTTACTGTGATCTTAAAAATAAGCGGTGTACAAAGTGTAATGGTGATCTTCAAACAACAGTTAACAAAATTGGACAAACAAGGTGAGACTTTACTAAAAGCTATAAAACTAACGATATGCATGATGAGATTGACTATTTAAAATTATTTGGCGTCAGGCTTGTCAGTTATTTAACCGTAGTTGAAAGACTTAGGCAGACAACACAAGACTTACAACACGTTCAGTCTCTATGAAAGCTACAACCGCTACAATTTAAGCAAAAGATGATAGTTCATTCCAAAAGCATATGCTATATCATGAGAGTACATCAATACATTATCTGATACCTTCGACATGAAAATTGATTCATCGCTCATAGCTGTAATGACTTACAGCAGAAAATTCGTATCATGATATGACAATATCAGACTTATTCTTTAAGGAAAAAAGTTAAAAACAAAGAAATACCTGTGGATGGACACCACAGTTGTTGCGTAACTCAACCGCACGAGCAGTGAATTCTTTACCAAACCGACATGTCAAAGCTGCACGAATCTCTTGGAGCTCTGGAAATTCTCCGCACCGTGATGCTCCGTACAGTAAACCTGCTACTGCCTCCTTAAGCTCCTCAGGACATTCTCTGTAACATCAACAACAATAACAAAGCATCGGTTCAATAACCTACTTCTCTCATCATATCTCACTTTTGAAGTTGTTTTGAGTTCTTATAATACCCTTTCATTTCTCTGCCTTCATACATGTAAACATAGAGACACAATAGTTTAACTTTCAAGACTCAGAAAAAGTGAATCCACCTTTCTTGTTCAATGAGGTGAACCCTTTCGATCAATAGGCTGCAGTATCCTTCAACCTTATCATACACGTCAATCATATCCTGCTCCTTGATCACATGCTCAACCTGGGGTGGTAAATAAGGGAGAGAAGAGGGAAAAGAAAAAAGAAACATTTAAAAAACCCAACGCTAAAATATTTCCAGCATAACTGCATCATATTCATAATGCTATCTGAGTAGTACATTATAAGCTCTTTCGAATTACAATACTGTATCTTACTCGAAGCAAAGCTCGTTCATGGTGACCGAGTTGGAGGAGTTGAAGGACATCAGAAAGGGCTTGTTTGGATCGTGTTTGTCTTTGATTCTTGAGAACAGCAAGGCGAGCAATGGCAAGGTTAACGAGTGGGGTGAACTTTGTGGCTTTGAAGCTTCTTCCAAACAGAGCATCAAGCTTCTTCCCCATAGGCACCCGACTCTTGTGTTTTTCTCAAGCTAAGTTCGGAGTGCAGAAAGGAGCAAAGAAGGTACTGGATTTTAAAGTCATTTTCTTGCGCAGGAGCAAGTTGAATATCGTGCATTTCTTTTTGACATTTATGGTATACGGTGAAGCAGAAAAATGCAGCTTTTAAAAGAAGATTTGGAACCTACTTGGAAAACGACTAATGGGTCGTTTTCAGATGGTTCTCTTAAAACGCGGTTTTCAGCTCCTCAGAAATTTCTACATGATGAAGTTAAAATGACAGAAACAGAATATTATTCTATATCAACGAATAGGCAATAATGGAGGATCTCCATACTTGACAATTTATCGTTTGCTATGTAACGACTGGTTGGTTAGAATATAAGACACCGATTCCACCAAATGATATATTTGTTTTAGACGGCAATTGAATCTTTCTGACACCAAATTCCATTTCTTTGTAAATAAGATTACAAAACCATGACATTTTTACACTAATTCCTTTTTTTTTTTTTACCTGAACATTTTTCACAATAATTCTGCAAAGCTTATTACTTAAAATTTTTTACTATATCTCATAACTCATACAGTCTGAACAAAAAGCGTTCCCGTCGGGTATTTACTTGCATTCTTCACCACGAAAGATCAATATTAAATAGAATTATTTAAATATTTTATAAAAATCTCTCACTCTCGCACACCTGTCTTCTTTATTGACCTGTTGGGTGTTTGGGTTTTTTGCCAAACCATGGTTTGGCAAAAAATTTGCCAAGTAAATACAAACAGCACGCACATTATCCAGAAAAGTGATTAAAACTTACCTTGTAACCCTAGATGAATAATTTCTAGCTATATTATCCCATTAAAGCATCTCATGAAGCCGTGGGAAACACTATGGACTACGATCCACCTTTTATCATATGGTTCAGAAAGAACATAACAAACCATTTACAGATGAACTGATTTTCATCGGCAATTCATTTCCACAATTTAACAATCACTTAGACGAAGCAAATATTAACGTATGATTCTATGCAAGCAATCATCAAGGAGAACGATCCTGAAAAGATTGAACCCTCTTCAGCCCAGGGAATAGCGGAACGAAAGGAACGGTCCAAATAGACCATTTTGAGAAGTAAAACACCGTCGTACCTAATGGTACCATAGTCGTTTGGGGCAATTCACACGCTACGCTGAAAGACTTGTATCAGAGGTGGCGTGAAGGATGAATGTGCGACTGGTCTTCATACATTATCACAGTGGCTTCAATGGCAATGTTCTGGGGAGAACAAGAAACATCAATGACGTCTATATATCTATAACATGACTTGCCCCTTGGCCTCGCAATCACCACCATACTGTAATTTTTTTCACAGGTAAAGATATTAAGAAGTGACGCAACTCCAAGAGCAAAGTCGAGGAAGGTGGAGACTTGAAAAGGACCCTTTTGAGAGCGTATGGAACATTCTGGAAGCGATGGTTAAACCTCGACTAGTAATAAGCCACACATTTAATGCGTCATGATCAAAGCAACCCACGAAACCCATAATAGTTAAGTGCCTTGCTTTTTGTTTTTATAATCCCTTCCCATGGGCACAGTGAAATTGCCCGTTAAATCAAGAAATTCCAATTATGTATAGATTTTCTCAGGCTACAGCCTACAGCCTCCCCAACCCCTAACGTGGGAAAGTCAAGCATAAACCCATCGCTGCATTTCTCTTATTGGACTCAGCTTCCTTCCCCTGCCACTTTGGTCCGCCGCCTATGAACGATGCTGTTTTCACATAGGCAAGGGTATAATGAGATGCCGCGCAAGAAAAGGGGGGGTATTTAGTAGGTCGGGCGCATAAGAGATGACTTGATTATAATATAAATGATTTATTAATAAATTTAGAATGAAAAAACCGAACAGTCAATATATACCACATAACTAAGCTTATTTATTATTTTTCATGGTTGATAAATATTATATGATTTTAATAAAACATGTATTTACCATCTCTTAATTAAATAGTATTAATAAAACTGTTGTGCAATTAGCCAACCAAAAAATAATAGAGCAGAGAAGAAATAGAGACAAGAAAATAAAAAAACTATATTATATTCCTTCACTTGCTTTACTTTCTTTTACTTGCATCACAACACAATGATAGATCTTATTTATAGGCGTAGTATTACACATAGATCATATTTGTGTCCAAATAATAGATAATAGGTAATAAACCACATGAATGCGAGTAAAAGTCAATTACAAGATTAAAAACACAACGAAAAAATAATTGAATAGTAGAAGATTAATTCATAATGAAAGTAATAGGAGGTACTTGATGAACTTGAAAAAAATGAGTAGATAGACATCCACACCTCAAATATTCATAACAAAAACGAATTATTTTACTCACTCAATTTTTGTGCCATTTTTTTGAATTTCGAATAATTTATAAATAGGTTCACTGTTCTAACTTATTGACAAATTATTTATACCACAACCCAGGCATCCCTCATGCGCCCCTACTCAATGCTCTCCCTTCTCTTGCGTGGCGTTTCATCATACCTTTGCCCCCTTATCTTATGTGACGTCTCAATATATCATCTTTGCCCATGTGAAAACCGCATCGTTCTTGGGTAGCGGACAGCAGACAAAAATGGCAGCAAAGAGAAGCTGAATCCTCTTAAATTGGACGTGCATACAATACCCATTTCTGCGCGCTGCACATTTTTGCGAAACCTTTCAAAGACGATTACGTAAAGCGGATATCTGATATTAGCGATCCCAACAGTGCTACACTTTTTGCGTTTGATGAAATTTGCATTTGGATTAAGAATCTCAGCACGAGTTACACAATTATATAGTCAAAATTCAATCACACTTCTTCATGATAGCGTAGTCTCCAGCAAGGCATCCGGATCAAGCAACCGTAATGCAGAGACAGTGCTAACGAAACCCACAACGCTGCAATGGCTATGCAACAATCGATGAAGTACAGATTATTCGGGCGTCCTCATTACACACCAGTTACAAGATTGAATGTCAAAAATTTAATTAGCGATTATAATGCAGCAAACGCAATGCAGATGATGACAAAAGACCCTTATCCAGGAGACAGTAAGCGGTAATGGGAACAGCTTAGAATAATCATGTTTGGCATTGAACCAAAATTATTGTTACACTAGAGAGATTAAAGGTGTGTTTGGATGAAACCAAACCGTGGTTTGGAAAAGTGATTCTGGAGAATAGATTCTGGAAAGAATAATGTTATGAAAAACTGATTTTGAGAACTAAGAGTGTTTGGATAGTTGTTATCAGAAGCACTTTTTATATATACAAATTACTAAAAAAAAGACATAAGTTAATATGATTAAAAAATAAATTTTATGATATATTCTAATTTGAAGGAATAAAATTATTAATAATATATTTTTTATCAACATAATTAATAATACATAAGATAATATAATTAATTAATAATTAATATGTATATATATTTTTTTAAAATATAAGATTAAATATATTTATAAAAAAATATGTTTATAAAAAAAAATAACAAGATACATATCCTATAAGCTCTCACACTCTCCTTTTTTTCTCCAAAAGCAAAAAATTTCAGCTTTTTCCAAAACCATGGTTTGCCCAAAACTAGTGGGTGTTTGGGTGACTTGTCACCCAAACCATGATTATGCAGCATACAAGGGCTCAAATATGACATTTTAAAACTGCGTGTATTCAAAGATGCTACACGCGAAAAATGACCTATATAAAAGACTTGACACTCGTCATTTTTTTTTCAATGGACTTGAGTTTCCAACTTTAAAATATGTTCATAACAAGCCATTCATATTAGCATATATTAAATTAAAAATATAATTCTCAATTACAATTAAATACCAATCTTCAACCTCATGCACATCAAGGACCTCTATAAACTCTAGGCATTTTCAAGAATATCAAAAATATACAAATCAGGCACCCGATTTCTTTTTCTTTTTCTTCGATACGTTGCTGCCCCAGAGTAACCATGTCTCCCAAACCAAAACTTTAAAATAAGCTTCGCAGATATTTTGGTGGTTCTTCAAACTTTAATGGGTCTCAAGCAGACGCATAAGCCCATATCAGTTGGGAAAAAACCACTACAGTTATGCATTCCTTGTAATTTTATTATTTTCTAAACATAACAGTAGATTTTCCCTCTCCCTGCATTTGACATGCCACAGGAAACGTGCCTAGAAGTAGAGCTTCTACTACAATATGTACAACGTCATAGCATGCGTAATACCTTGGTAGGACCTTGAGCAACGAAATTACTACCATTAAGAAAAATAATCAAAGAATCCAGTTCTTAGGAAACCAGCTGACACAACCATATGTTCAAAGAACAGATTGAAAAAATGGCAATTAGCATAAGAGTTGGCAAATAGTTAACTTAAGAGAGAGACTATGTTTACTTCTTAGCTACTTGGCAAAAAGTTGGCATCAATATCTACTACACAATAATATTACTGAACTGCTATAAGAGAAAACACTTTCTAGACCATCAATGATGGATCAGCAAACAAACGTAGAAACACTGGCACATATGAAGTTGTGGAGAAGACCTATTCAGGATTGACAGCAAAAAATAGACACGTTTGAGGATGGAGATTCCAATCTGAAGGAGTAATATGGAACGGACTTACAAAAGGGAATGTTTAAAGGGGAATCCAGACAGCCATGATATGAGGAAGGGGATCATTAGCAATACATCTAATTCAGAGGAACATAGGATTAAGAAAGAATGTTCGATACAGCCCAAATTTCACCATCATGAACACAGCTGTTGAATAATCTGAGAATGACTACCCATTGGAATACATTGAATCCATGGAGGTCATGAAATATCAATGCACAAATGAAAACCGAGAATGACTACCCATTGGAAACCTCAGGCCATTGATCATCAGTCATATAAATGCAAAGAAAGAGAAAGTTAAGTTGGACATGTATATACTTACAAAAATAGCAGGACCAAAGATACTGTACCTAAAAAGAGAAAAAGGAAATTAAAACCAGAATATTCAATGGAATAGAGGCAACATCAACTTTAACCCGTACCAAAAGGTTAAGTGAACAGAAGTTTCTGGATTTAATTACCCCCTCAGATACGAATCCCCTTCAAGAAGACGGCCAAACACCTCCAGTGGAAATGCCTCCGGAATGACCAGGCCATGGATAAGATGCAACGCAATTTCATTAGGATTTGGATAAGAAATATTTGAAACAAAAAAATACAAAAATGCTGGACTCAAGGAGAAGCTAATAAAATTAACGTACTATGCACATCCATATTTCCAACCTAAAAGGACATGCACAACACGCCAAGCAATTCGCATGCCATATAGCTTGATCAATCGGAGGATAGCCAATAAACATTAAAATACAACACTTTCTAACAATGTCACTCGTGAGTAGCTTTTTAAGCAATAGAATATACTGACAAATATTTTGATTCCACAGCGTACCTACCCCATTATTAGCAACAGCAAGATTAAGACCTATCCAGTGATCTCAAATAGATCACACAAACAACTTCATTAATTTCCAATCAAGTGACTAATCTACTGGTGCTTGTAGAATCTTAAATAAATTATTTCTCATTCCAGCATGGTCAAATTAATTTTCCCGAAAACAAACCAAGGTACCTTCTCCTGAGTGCCTTTAAAGCACCTAAGGACTGGAGGGTTGCCTCACAATGCCTCCTGAATGAAAAATTAAATTAGCATCTCCAGAATCCAAGTAAATAAACAAATGCAAGGACAAATGAACTGGCATCAACAGCAGCAAGGGAGGACCACAATTTATCAAATAATAAAACATAGCAACTAAGAATGAGAAAGGTAAACGGAAGTTGCAGAGGCTAATGCTACAAAAGAATAGAGTAAAACATAATACAAGAGCCAATGTTCAGCAAAAGATCAGAAAAGCATGTGCTAAATCAAATTTTCCATTATAAAAGATAATTGCAAAAATAATGTCCAAAGTACATATACACCTATATTGAAAAAACTAATATACTAAATTACACAATGGCCATACAAGAAAAGGGGGGGAACTGCCATCGGCAAGTTGTCTTACAATAGAAACAGTACATTCCACTGAAAGATTCCACTGAAAGAACCGCCAGTAAAGTGTACTCCTGATCAGACATCACCCTTATCACTTCAACGGGCCAACTAGTGTTGCTGACACCCCTCGGAGGAGGCATAGAAGATAAATAATATCAAATGATTAGAATCACTATGAATTGGGTCATTATGTACAAAAATCAGCAAACATCATTTCGGAGTCAAAATCAGCAACATTGTTCACTTGCCAGTGATGAATGGATGGCTTAATGCTTGTGAGACTGTCAACCTCTTCTCCGGATCCAGGACAAAAACCTTGTCCAGAAGATCTTTGAAATTAGCTAACATCTTCGGATCCTCTCCAGGAGAGCCAGCAATGATAGTTCCAATGTCTTTGGGCTTCATGTTGAGAATCAACCGCTTTATAGCCTAGCCAATCAATTTGGATCCACTATCAACAAACTCAAAAATGCATATCCACCCTACTTAACAAAAATGGCATGGTTGACTTGGAAATAGAATTTTTAAATCTAAAAAAAAAAAAAAAAAAGGTCCAGCTCACCTTTCTCGTCACTGGATCCTCTTCTGTAGCAAGAAAATTCAAGTCCTGGTCAAAATGCTGATCAATAAATGCTCCCTGCAAGTTATACCCAAAAAAAAAAAATCATCAGACAAACCACATGTTCATTACAACATATAGATCATATACACGGATGACATTTGAAAGTCAAAACAGGAGATTAAAAAAAGCGAAAAGATAAAGAATCAATTGCTAACAAAAACATATAGGGGGTGCTTGGTAACCCCTCCTTTCATGCAAGTGAAGGCAAAAATCATCTCACATACTTACCTCATACACTATAAAATTACTTTTAAAAAGCTAATCCAAACACCTAACAGATTCACATTACGTAAGATTATTTGAAGTTTCAAAGAGTGACGCTAGGCAGGAGAGATCATACTAAATTTTTTAAATAATAAAATTTCCATAAAAAATAGATTAGTGAACACTATTGTCAGAAAACTGCAATCTAAGTGAAGTGGAGTGAATTTTAGAGAAAAAAATTTCCAAACTATAGACGTCCTTAAGAGATCATTTGCAGTGGTCCTCCTTCTTTAGGAATCAGTTATTACAATTCTTAACTTCTAGGAATAAGCAAACCCACGACTTACAGATTAGCGAACCCATAAATCCAAGGGATCATTAACTTATTTTAATTATAATCAGAAATTTCTTTTTTTTATAAAAAAAACGTAGTTTCATAGTATAGCTTCTCTTCGCTCTGTAAATACCGGTGTAATTGTGATAAGGTGATAAGTACATAATAACAGCCTGTTAGAATTACGTTCATTAAAGTGCAGGTGCAGTCAGAATTTAATCCAGCGCAAATCCACCAATATGAAGGGGTCTGAAAACTAAAATGCCACACCCCATCACTCTTTTTATCCAAAACCATGTTATAGCAAACCCAATCCGCCCACTACCAACAGACTCCAGATCAATCACAAGGATGAACATAAATCACAAAGAAACATAGCCTTTAATACATAATAATCATGTATTAACTAAACTGCTGCAGTGATCACTCCATCACCACTGATCATCTAACAACTACAAAATAGAAAACTAAATCATTCATTTTCATCCCTTCCCCTGCCAATCCATTGTCTTATGAATCATTTTATTCCATCCTCTCCAAAAAAATTCAAACAACAATCATATCTTGAACAAGATTTCTTGTTTAGGGCTGCTTCTAAGAGAGAGATTCACATAAGACCAACAAACCAGCTGCAAACAATTCATGATAAGCATACAAACATTTACCTTACGAAGCATCTTCTTCGGAAAAGCACCCTTCAATTCCATGTGAAGCCGTAGCATGTCATTGTTAGTACCACCTGGGAAAAGAACTTTTCCAGTATAAAGTTCGTACAAACAACATCCAACAGACCAAATATCTAACGGATGATCATATGACAAGCCAAGTACTGCACAAAAACATACCAAAATTCAGCAATCGGAAACTATAAGAATTTCATCATTAAAATAAGATACTATAGGAAGGAACTTACTTATTTCAGGGGCACGATAAAAGCGACTCACAAGGTATGGTGTGACTTCATTCTTTCCAGCAAACATAGCATTACCAAAGTCACAAAGCTTCAAAACATTTTTTGCTTCATTCACCTAATCAAAAAGGAAAATGTTAATTGTTATATACCCAAAAAAAAAATGAAAGGATTTTTGAAGAAAAATTGATTCGTCAATCCCTATAGCTTCACCTAATTTTTAAACAGACCCCTATAGCTTTTTTTCTTTTTATTGGGTCCTTAAAATTTATTCAATTGTACGCATTAGTTTCCATGCTAGGGCATCTGCAGATGCCGACTAAACAACATATAAATTGTCACAAAATACAAAATGAGAAGTTTTTTAAAAATAAAATGGTGGACTAAAATTTCTTTATTATCAACATAAAAATAAAAATAAGTATGCTCATAACTGTCTCCTTGCATCTATATAATCTATAATTTGGTTGATTTTGATTTTATTTAAATCCATGGGACAAAGTTAATTCAAATGTATACTAAGTGAGAGTCACATTACCAGCTACTAACATCCTCTTACAAAATGACAAATTACAAGTATAGGGACCAATACCTATAATTGAGCGAACTACAAGGACCCAATAAAAAAAGGGGAAAAACTACAAAAACTAAACTAAAAATGAGGTGAAATTATAACGACTTGCATACTAATTTTCCCTTTTTCAAAAACAAGCCAAACACAAAAAGATATTTTAGACATACCAACATATTGTCTGGCTTTATATCACAATGGAGAACACCACAGTTCCGAAGATGCTTCAATGCAATAAAGAGTTGTTTCGCGTACGCTCTCACAGCTGTTAGCCTAAGGCCAATATTGCGACCAAACTTCTTTAAAACCTCACGCAGATTCATATGAAGAGATTCAAAAACTAAACAAAGGTGATTCCTGTACTTAAAACTTGAAAGGAAACGAACACAATGACGCTTATCATCTGGATCTGAACCTACTAATTTCTTTAGTATGACCAACTCATCCATACCAGCCTTGTACCTGTACCAGAATAGACATATATACCAATGAGCAATAGAGCACTAAGTTATATGCAAAATATTTTATGAAGATACAAGGGGACCATTATAACTCACATGGTGTCATTATTACGAATAATTTTTATAGCTACTTCTTCTGGCTCACCATTACCAGCTTTTAGATTCTTTGCACGAACAACTGTTGAAAAGACACCTTTACCATGAGCTGCTGTGACTTCATATCGACCATCAAGTATTTCACCAAAACGATAACCTGCAGAATCACATAGAAATATTGGCGCACAACACCACAATCAGAAGAACAGAGATGCCCAAGGCCAGAATTAATTTAAAAACTATTAAAAAAAAAGGGGCCAACTTTTCCAGTAGTTTCAAGTAACTTTCCACCATGTTGACAAAATATATCTGAACAAATCACTAAAAATTCATCAATAGAGAATTAATTAAAAAAAAACTAATAAGTTACTATAAAACTGTGTTCCGTTATAACATTCTTAGGTATTATATCAACTTTAAATGTGAATCCTAATTGTAATGCAAAATAAGCTGAAATCAACATAAAATAAAAAGTCTATAATAAGCCGCAAATATTCATAAAGGACAATGTGATCCTTATCTCAAACACAAGAGACAGGCCAACAACTTCTAGGATTTCTAATACTTTAACGAGACATTCCACATCACATTGACAAAGCACACCTGAAGAGATCTAGAAATTGATAAACAAAATTAGTTACTGTGATAGTAAGAAGTTTCATTACAGCATTCTTGAGTCTTCTAGTAATTCTAAATTCTGAATCCTAGCTTATAATGCAAAATTTATCTTGTTTTGGTTTTAATAAACGATACCATAACAAATGCATAAACACCCTTGCCACGGTGCACAGCCAGCACAAGGCCACAAAAACCAATTAACACTAGAGTCAACAATTAGATTATAATTAATACAGCTAGATACAATTATATGCGATACTCACTGTAATACCCCTCTGCATCATCCCAATTGTCATGCAATCCACCCCTGTCAACACGCAATCCATCCCCTTTGCCCTGCAAAATAAGACAAATTCTTAGATAGGATGAGAAGAGGAGAGGGGATCAGACATAGGTACCATTCATATATTACTCTGTCTTTATATGTTTATAAAATTCCTAGGTTCTATTTTAGTTTTCATCAGGAACTATAAAAATGAAATCCATAAAATTCTCGCAAAAAAATTTTACTAAACACATTCAACCACAAAATCCAGTGGTTACTTCAGATTTTATCTGCACTATATTACCACCCCACGGAGAAAATCACCTATCACACTATTAAACCACAAAATCCAGTGGTTACTTAAGATCTTATCTGCACTATATTACCACCCCACGGTGAAAATCAGCTATCACACTAAGTATGAATTAATATGTTAATATTAAAGCTGAGCTTGAAAAAATGTCAGAAGATAAGCAACAGGCATCTAAAAATTAAATGTTCAATAAGTATAAAAACTAAGATTTCCCCAAATCACAACTCCTTAATCAGTCACTAAAATATCACGCTCTCATACACTATGGAACTTCAAGTACCCATACACCATCCATAACATTCTACTTTAAGAAGCATCAGCCAATGACTTAAAAAACTCATAATACCACTCCATGCAAGAATTGTTACTTATAAAGCAATATATCGACCCAGGGACCTACTAGCTTGAGTGGACAAAAACAATGGCTGTCATTATACAAACACATTAAGTTGACCAAACACTTACTGATTTGCGAACTCCTGTTGGTGTCTCACCAAATATGTCATCACAAAACTGGTCATCGGATCTTTCACTCTGTAAATGTTATAAATTAGCTTCAAAGCAAAATAGCTAAAAAGGGTTTGACCATGAACCCACTATAGTTATGATATTTTCCCCATCATATACAATAAGAAATGAACAAACCTTTGGTGAACCCTCTCCCAAGCCCCCAGCAACACCAGGGATCTTTTCAGATGCATCATTTCCATTTTCTCGGGGAGATTTACCAACAGCAAAAGATGGTTCCGTTTCAAAAACATCAGCACCATCGTTCTTAGCATCAGGAGCTTCAGAAACAGTAGCCGGAACATTCACAGGATCCTTATCTAACCATAGTTCAAAAGCGTGTTTTAGTATAAAACGTAACCCACTGTGGCACACACATAATGACAGTAAGCAAATACAGGGGAAGAGCAAACAACAAAAATGCCACACACATATCATCCAACTCCTGAGACTTATTTATGTATCAGAATCCATAGAGTGTTGCACATTCTTAGGCCATGTCAACAGAACATCACTAACTGGGTGTTTGGGACCTCTTAAAATGATCATGTTTAGGCTATACAAGACAAAACTCCCCTTGTATATTTATTGCATACAGCAAAAAAGTGCTTTTTTCCAACTAATCCAAACAGACTTTAAGGGTAATAGAGAAAATTTAAGGAAATAAAAGCCAAAAAAACCTTTTTCTTTATTTTCAGAAGTTTGTTCTTCATGTTGATGCTGCTGTGGTTGCTGCTTTTTATATTTCTCTAAGATTGCTTCCCTCCTCCTTCTACTCTCCTCCTTAATTCTATTGAGGTCTTCCTCTTCTTGTTCTGCAAATGGCAACGTAACCGTCTCATCCAGGTCATCTTGTTCATCCTCACCCCTGGTCAACATAAATCAACGAAGTGAGGTATTATTAAAATAATAGTAAAAACAATAAAATAAAAGAGCTTATTTTGTATAGACACTTCTGATGAAAATATAAATACCTGTCCACAGGTTTATCAACTGTCACAGACTCAGAATTTCTTTTTTTCTCCCTATGGCTTTCTGCTTCTTCATGTCTCAAATGCTTACGGCGCATATCTCCGTCCCGGCTCTCATTACCATGCTCATAACCCAGATTTTTATCTTTATCAAGAACATTTCTATCCTTACGCCTCTCCCTCTCCCTAATCTTATCTCTTTCTCGATGTTTATCATCCCTTTCACTCTCACGAACTCTATCTCTCTCCCCAACCCTTCCTCTGTCCCTACTCCTCTCTCGTCCCCTATCACTTCTATGCCGCTCAGCCACAATCTCCCAGCTCCTCTCTCTATCTCGCTCCTTTTCTCTTCGTCTATCCCTGTCCACCTCTCTTCCCCAGCTCCTATCTTTTTCCACATCCCTTCTATCCTTCTCATGACTCCTTTCACGTTCTTTTCCCCTCCTATGCACACGATCATCCTCCCTATTCCGGCTCCTTTCCCGTTCCTTTTCTCTTCTTAGGTCCCTATCCCCATCCCTGTCCTTGCTCCTATCTCTATCTCGGGCCTCCCGACTGTAATAGCTGGAACTGTGCTCCCTTCTATCACCTGCCACCAAATCCCTACTCACATGTCCACGCTCCCTGCCATATTCCCCAATTCTTTCCTCGTCATTCCTCCTCCTGGAATGAGCATATTCTTCTATTACACTATGAGTATGACCACTTGATCTGGATCGACTCCTACACCTATAATTAGGTGAGCTTTCCCTGGCCCTATATTTGCTACCTCCACTTTCAGGGGAGGAGTTCTTCCTATGAATCCTTAATTTGCCTCCATTAACCTCCAGATCTTCGTTGTCATAGTCACCTTTCAGCTTTTCATTTCCTTTAAAACATCCAAGCTCCCCATGCGGCCATTTATCCTCTTTGGAAGATTTACGATCCAAATACCCATTGCCCAAACCATCCGAAATAGCTCTAGCATGCTTAGCATCTACGGACTCCGCACTTGAATGAGTAGGAGAACCATCAACTTCATTTCTACTGTGACCAGTGTGTCCCTGATGGCGAGTATCATCTTCTCCATCCAATCGTGGACTAATAAATCTACCATTGTTGATATCCTCACTATTAGTTTCTAAACCTTTAGCAGTAGTCACTACTTTCTCTTTAGAGGGAATGGCGTCCTTCCCATGCAACATCTCTTCGGTGGAAGGTACCTGCTCAGCACAAGAGGTAATTATGTGCATATGTCAATGGTCCTCACACTTAACTAGTTAAGTTAAAGCAGAATGAGCGTAACATTTATATCGGTCAACAAATAAAATTAAAAAGATTAAAAAAAAAAGGACTCGTAACCAGCTCTTACAAATTAACCGTAAGCCATCAGTCTTCACTGAAACGCCTAGAGAGACCTCTTTTGCAATTCATTCATGTTCGTGTAGTGCAAGCGGGTTCTACATATCTATGAGACACTGACATGGTATTCTACCAAATTCTCATGGATCAATAATTCATTATACATTTTGAAATACAAATTCCAAGCCCTGTTTGGTTACCAAGAAGAAGTGGATTCATTGAAATGCCAACAATCACCAAAGAAAATAATATTGAATTTTTTGAACAATAACAAAACCGAACAAGAAAACAAGTTCTTCTAATTTATAGTATCGGAGTCTCCACTTCCTCAGCAACCAAACAGATGCGGAAAGTAGCAAAGATAAAGAAAACGATAAATTCAATCATAACCTACCGGATTTGAATTATCGGATCGAATACCTCGACCTCCCGTGGCCATGATTTCACCAGACTCAGCATCGGACTCCGTATGCTTTTTTCCAATCTCACCATCTCGGCCACCGGGACCCTCCTCTTCAAGAATCTCCCCCTCCTCCACATCATCATCAGGCCTGTCAGACTCAGGACCAAGAGTTGGGGAAGGAACCTTATTAACAGTTTCGGCATCGAGTTCATGCTCCTCTTCGTGTTTCCTGCTAGCGTGGCGGTGCCGATGATGGCGGTGGCCATGGTGGCGGTGCTTGTGACGTTTAGAGGATCGCTCGACTTCTTCGGGAGAAGATGAGCGCCGGTGCTTGTGACGGGAGCCATGTGCATCGGAGGCCATGGACGGATGCGGTTATGATTAGGGTTAGGGTTTTGGTCGTGTTCCTCAAACCACCAAGGCCGAACTGGAGGTCAGTGAAAAACTGAAGAATACGCGCGGATGGCCACTATTGGATCAGATATTATTGAGGGAACTGTTCCGCCTCGCTAGTTGAAATCGGCAGTATTTTGGAATTTATTCCTCTCAAGCAAAATACTTTTCATCCAGTGATCATCCCAAAAAAATTATTTACCTCACGTAATCTACGAATGTATATTCTTTTATAAAATATTAAAATCTACTTAAATTCTTTTATTTTGGAAGAAATATCACCAAACTGAGAAAAGAAAAACGCTGGCAGAAAGAACTGAGAAAAGAAGAAAATATTAAAGAAAAAATAGATTTAGGTACTTTCTTCTTTTATCTAAGTTGGTTTTTTTCCAAAATTTTTAAATTGCCAAATGAAAATAGTTATACCATCGTAATCTTTTTTTTTTTAGCTGAATAGTCTATATTATTAAACCTCCAAAAACAAGTACAAAAACTGATAGGCAAGATGCCTAAATAAACACAGAACCGACAGAAAATAAAAAAGGCAACTAAATGGCAACAAAACTGAAAGAAGAGGAAAAAAGAAACAACACAACAATCTAAAAGCAATTAACCAATTCCAGACCTTCCCTCCTCCTCATCCAATCTGTACATTAAATCCAGTCTGTACACAGAGCCAACTTTGCGGTACCACTCTTCTCAAATGATCACCAGTCTTGTTCCCTTTCCTTGCAACTAAAGACAAAACCCCATTTTGCCTATCCTTTAGCAAAGAGAGACACTTGTGCAGAATATCCTCACAGCCCCAACACATCTTTTCATTTCCTTTTTCTGTAGCTTGTCAAATAACATTTCACAGTCAGTCTCCACCACTACTTTCCCATTGCTAAACTCATCAAAGCAATTTAAGGCCTCAAGCAAAGCCATGCTTTCTGCCATGAACGCAGAATCTGCTACTACCTCCTTCCCAAAACCACCAATAAAACTACCTTCATCATTCCTTGCAACCATTACCATAGAAGCCCTTCCTCTCTTTTTACTAAAAGCAGTATCAATATTCAATTTAATACTACTTCCGGTCCTTAATATAAGATTCTGTTTGAATTTTATTTTGATCCTAAATATAAGACTTTAATCCACTTTATCTCTTATATTTATATTTTTTTTTCCAAAGTAGTCCTTCTAACAATGATAGTTCTAGTCAATACACTTAATTAGCAAAGATATTTTAGGAAAGACAACACCTATTTAGAACAAATAACTAACTCAACTTACTTCCTTAATCTCCTCAAATTAGTCAATTAGCTCTTATAATTAAAACCAGAGGTAGTAGTATTCTTCTCAGGCATAACTCAGCTCAGCTTCCTTACCACAACCCCATCTGATACACATCTCTTATTTCTCTTAGCATCAGCCTCCCAGAAGTCACGTACCAGCCTCATTGTTCTCCCCACACATTCATAAGCATCCATCTCCTTCCTTTCAGACACACACTGGCACCTAGACTTCCATATTTCCCAACAAATTGTGGCAAAAAGAGCTAAGCCATAGGTATCTGGTCTCTCCTTGCAGTCCAACCAATCTACTAACCATTTATCCACCCTACACATTCCTCTCTCCTCAAGCCTCAAAGTCAATGGACGGCCAAAGCAAACCTGTTTTGCCCAAGGACAAAAAAATAGCAAATGTTCAAATGTCACAACATGGTGAATTTGAGCATTTTCTTTTGAAAAGTGCTTCTCTACTTGCCAAAGTCTCACTTACAGCTCTCCACATAAAATGAGCAACTTTAAGAGGTACTTTCAAATTCCACACCTCTTTCTAACATTCCTTTGGAGCCTAATAAGAACTATCAGGCCCCTCAGCACCCTTGTCACTCACCTAATACTGATTTTAAGAATACGAATACTTACAACTTATATATAATACTTTTTGAGGAATTAATATATCAATAAAACATTTATTTTTTATTTTTTATCATTTTATTAAGTAATCAAATTTTGTTTTATTATAGGAAAAAGGAAGATAATGCACACTTTTTTTAATATTAGATATTTTTATGATTTTTAAAATAAATAAGAATAATATGTCAACAAATATTTTTTCTCTCCCCTTCCTTCCAAAAAATGGCTAGAGGAAGTTCACCTCTACCTCCTTCGGTTAAAAAAAAAAAAAAAACAACCAAACATTACCTCACATATTTCGAGAGTGGGGAAGTCAATGTACGAAATTTTAGAGTTCTGAGGCTGAGTTCATTTTTCAGTTTTTTTCCTCAATTTCCTTAATTTATTTTGATTTTTTTTAATCATAATTGGTGATTATACCACAGTGTGATATATGATTCTTTCAATTATGTGTTTCCAGAGATGCGGCTAAATAATTTTTAAGAACAATCATCCAAACAATTGTCAGAGAATCATCTAAACATGTTTTTTTCCTCAAAACTTGTTTTAAAAAACAGTTTCATAAAATTGTTTTGAAGACAAAAAAAAAAACAGAAAACATAACCAAATAAGCCCCTAATTTATTTCCTATTTTTTATATTTTTTATTTATGAATATTTTTTATTTTATTTTTTTCAGTTATATCTATTGCTCATGCGTATGTTCCTATTAGTTATCGTTAAATCAATTTTTTGGATAATTTTGATGAATTGAGAGCTAAAGAAAAATTTAAATCCAAAAGAGTAGATATAAATATTGAGGTTAAAAATAGTTCTAAAATATTTGTGGTGACTCTACACTCTAACTTCACAATTTAGTTAATCATTTCTAGCAACAATAGCAAGCTGCATAACTCAGATGGTGTCAAAGTTGGTGTCGGAGAGTCTTCAAATGAAGTTCTTCGATGCATCGCAGTTTGATTTCAATTATGAGTAAAGTCGGCTATGGTTTCCTCCGCTCAGACGAAGCATGTACTTGGCCTTGCCGGCTGGCAACATTATTGTATGAAAATGGGCTAGTCTACCTTTGATGGATTAGATCAAACCCATTAATTTTGAGACTCTAGTGCAAATAACAGGACATTCAGATTGGGAATTGCCATTTTCTTTTTTTTTGTTTAAACTGAAAATTGGAGGGAATGGTTAACATGAGTGGGGTATATGAAGGTAGTTTTTTTTCTTATTGCAATAAGAAAAACTGCAGCACATATTCCTCTCCTCCCTCTCTCAGTTGGCCTCCTCCCTTCAGTAACTATCTCTCCCTGTATGCATTTATTGTGAGACAACAGATCCGAGTTTACCAAAGTAACCAGACCTCTGCGTGGCTATCTGAATTTGATCTACTCTTTAAGTATGCCCGAAACCCTTTAATTATTTATTCTGGCAAACAGCTCTTCAAAATACTAGAGTGTTTGGAAGAAGAAACACCTAGTTAGTCTATCTAAGATCTTAGTCAGAAGTTACACTTGATGCTCAAATTTGCTACTCATGCTTCTTACAATGCAAATCTAAATCTAAAATATTTCAATAACTAAGATCAATTCTCCACACAAAATGGAGCGAAGGTCTGCTTCAAATAGTTTAGTGCAATCCTAAGGATAGTGGGGGGAAAAAATCTAATCTTCTAATTGACATTGACCCAAAAAAAAAAAACAAGAAGAAGAAAAAATAAGTGAACTTTTTCTGCGATGGAGTTAGATTTGATAGAAGCAGTCAACCAGGCCACTGATAATTAGGTTTTGCTTTTGAAATGGCAATTTTGTGCGGTTTAGGAATAAGAATGTCGTTTCAGGTTGCTCCAAAGCAATGAAGATTTTCTTGTTTTTGTCAATATGGAATCCGAATCTGATTCTGCTTGGACAATAGCAAGAGGAAGTTGTTGATTTACAGGTCTTATTCATGATCCTTCACTTCATTTTAAAGCTTAATATAAGGAATCCTGCATTCCTTCATATACATGGCTTGAATTGCCCAACTCAACTTTGAAAAGCATCCTTATTTTCAAAACTTGGCATATACTCCCTTTAGTTTTTAATATGAGAATTAGATCACTCATTTATAAAAATTAATAAAATTAGTTAAATTATTTACTAATTTCTTTAAATTACCTTCTTTAATAATTTGCATTAACATCATCTCATAATGAAAATTTGTTTAATATGTACAGTTAACAGAAATAGCAGACAAAGTGAATTTAAATTTTAAACTTAGAATAAAAGTAAGTATCTAAATAGTCCAGGATCAGAAGGAATACTATGTTTGGATCAATAGGGCTTGTTTTGCCGTCATTTTTTGGTGGAAATTTTTTTTTTTAAAATCCATTTTTTTGGGTCTAGGTCTCATTGTTTCTTGGCCAATAGATAAGCCTTGTTGATAAGTAATATACTCCTCATGTTCTTAATATAAAACCTAATTGTTAAGTTAATTTTGGTCATAAATATAAGATTTATTTTTCATATTTATCAATTTTTTCTAAATTACTCCTGTGGATACTCCCTCAACCATAAGCAAATAAGCAAGAGAGGGAGGATATTAAGAAAGATGATTATACTCCTCCGGTCCTTAATATAAGACCCATTTAACTAATTTGATTAGATTAAGAAAGTTAGGTAAGTTAGTTAATTATAAGAAAAATAACACATTTTTCCTAAAACACCATAATCATCTTTCTTAATACCTCATCTTCCTCTTCTACTTGACTATGGTTGAGAGGTATCCATAGGGGTAATTTAGAGAAAATTGATAAATATGAGAAATGGGTCTTATATTTAGGACCAAAACCAACTTAAGAATTGGGTCCTATATTAAGGACCGGAGGAGTAGTATTTTAGAAAGAGCATGTTATATTTCTTATAATTAATTAACTTATCTAACTTTCTTAATCTAATCAAATTAGTTGAATAAGTTTTATATTAAAGATCAGAGGAGTAACATTTCATGTGTAGCTAGAAGGCATTAATGAAGGACAACTCAGGGATTGTTCCCCCTCAAAAAAAGCCAAATATCACGTTTTAGCTTGTGGCAGCAGCATGGTAAATATATCTTTAGAACCTCTTGGCTAAAATTAAAATATAACTTAAATTTTTTTTAATAGTCTCCTGGACAGGTCATTTAACGCAGCCAACTCAA